AAAAAATAAAAAAATTTTAATTTTAATTTTTTTTCTAGGAGAGATGGAAAATGAAAAAATCAGGGAAATAAAAGAGAAATAAATGGATTTATTTGGGATTTTTTTTGGCGATGTGGAATTTTTGGGGGGAAAATGGGGGAAATTGGGAAAATTGGGGGAAAAATGGGAATTTTTGATGGAAAAATTGGGGGAAATGGGGAAAAAATTGAGGAAAAAACGGGGAAAAAAATTGAATTTTTGAAGGGAAAAATGGGGAAAATTAGGGGGAAAAAATTGAATTTTTGAAGGAAAAATTGGGGGAAAATGGCAAAAAATGGGCAAAAAATGGAGAAAAAAATTCGAATTTTGGAAGGAAAAATTAATGAAAATTTGGGGGGAAAAATGGGCAAAAAATTTGAATTTTTGAAGGAAAAATTGGGGGGAAATCAGTAAAAAATTGGGTGGGAAATGGGGGAAAAAATCCAATTTTTGAAAAAAAAAATTGGGGAAAATTGGGTAAAAAATTTGAATTTTTGAAGAGAAAATTGGGGAAAAATTGGAAAAAATTTGGGGGAAAAATGGGCAAAAAATAGGAATTTTTGGAGGAAAAATGGGGAAAATTTGGGAAAAAAATTTGGGGAAAATTGGGATTAAAATGGGGGAAATTGGGGAAAAAACGGGGAAAAAATTGGAATTTTTGAAGGAAAAATTGGGTTAAAATTGGGTAAAAAATAGAGAAAAATTGGGATTAAAATGGGGGAAAAATTGGAATTTTTGATGGAAAAATTTGGTGAAAAATTGGGGAAAAAATGGGCAAAAAAAATCAAATTTTTGAAGGAAAAAATGGGTAAAAAATCGGAAAAATTTGGGGAAAAATTTGGATTAAAATGGGGGAAAATTGGGCAAAAAATTCGAATTTTTGATGCAAAAATTGGGTAAAAAATGAGAATAAAAAGGGGAAAATTTGGGGAAAATTTGGGGAAATTTGGGGAAAAATTCCCGCCCCCACCCAAAAGAAAAACTCCAAAATTTGGATTTTTTTTAAATATTTTTATTGCAGCGAGAAAAAGCAGAAACGACCGCGAGCGGAAAATCCGAATTTTCATTATTACGTAATTAATCCTAATTAATTGTAATGAATTAATTAAATTTATGTCATAAAAAATGTAGAAAAGGGAAAAAAAAAAGGGATTTTTTTTTGGGGCAAAAAAAAGGAAAAAATTCAATTTTTTCCCATTAAAAAATGACCAAAAATTGAATTTTTTTGCCCAATAAAAAAATGATCAAAAATTGATTTTTTTTTTTTTCCAATTAAAAAATGTTTAAAAATGAAAAAAATTTGAATTTTTTTTCCTAATTAATTGGGAAACAAAATCAATTTTTGGTCGTTTTTTTATTGGGCAAAAAATTCAATTTTTTCAATATTTTTTTGGGGTAAAAAATTCCATTTTTTTTTTCCCAATTAAAAACCATTAAAAAAAAAATTGAATTTTTTTTTTTATCAATTTTGACCTTTTTCACCTTAAAAAAAAAAAAAAAATCCGAATTTTATCCACCAAAATCACGGAAATATTTCGATTTTTGGGACAAAAAAATTGCGATTTTTGGATAGAAATCTATACATTTAATCTATAGAAAAGTGAATTTTTTAGGGAATAAATTCCATTTTTTGGGAAGATTTTTGGGAATTTTTTAAATTCCGATTTGGGTCCAGAAGGGTTAAAAATGTGAAATTTTTTTTGAGGCGAAAATTGGATTTTTTAGGTCAAAAATTTGAATTTTTTGGGTCAAAAATTTGAATTTTTGGGGTTAAAAAATCGGCTTTTTTAGGGGTTTTAAAATCGAATTTTTTTCGGGTTTTTAAATTGGATTTTTGGGGTTTAAAATTTAATTTTTTGGGGTCAAAAAATTGGGGTTTTTGGGGTTAAAAATCAGATTTTTTGGGGTCAAAAATTGGGGTTTTTGGGGTTAAAAATTGGATTTTTTTGGGATTTAAAATTGGGGTTTTTGGGTTAAAAATTGGTTTTTTTTGGGGTTAAAAATCGGATTTTTTTGGCTTTCAAATCGGATTTTTTGGGAGGTTGAAAATTCGATTTTTTTTTGAGTCAAAAATTGAATTTTTTGGGTTTAAAATTGAATTTGTTGGGATTTAAAACTGGTTTTTTTAGGTCTAAAATTGGATTTTTTGGGGATTTAAAACTGGTTTTTTTGGGTCAAAAATTGGGATTTTTTTTAGGTTTAAAATTGGATTTTTTAGGTTTAAAATTGGATTTTTTGGGGACAAAAACCACGTTTTAAATCGGATTTTTTTCGCTTTAAAATTTGAATTTTTTGGGACACGAAGCGGATTTAAAACCGAATTTTTTTTGGGATTTAAAATTGGATTTTTTGGGACTAAAAATGGGTTTTTTTGGGATCTAAAATCGGATTTTTTCGGAATAAAAAACAGATTTAAAATCGGATTTTTTTGGGATTTAAAACGATATTTTTGGGGATAAAAAGTGGATTTAAAATTGGATCTTTTTGGGGGAAAAAACGTGTTTAAAATCAGATTTTTTTTATTTTAAACCAGATCTTTTTGAGATTAAAAACCGCATTTAAAATCGGATTTTTTCCCTTTCAAATTTGTCCCCAAAAATTCCCATTTTTTCCCCCCAAAATTCCCAAATTTTTCCCAAAAAATACCTAATTTTATCCCAAAAAATACCTGATTTTATCCCAAAAAATACCTGATTTTATCCCAAAAAATCCCAATTTTTTCCCCAAAAATTCCCAATTTTTTTCCCAAAAATTCCCAATTTTTTCCCCAAAAATCAGCTTTTAAAATCGGATTTTTTTTTTGGTTTTTCGCCCTAAAATTTGGTTATTTTTGGGACAAGAAATGCGTTTTTAATCGGATTTTTACGCGATAAAAAGCGCCTGAAAAATTGAATTTTTGGGGACCCAATCCGGCCTGGTGAAAATGGGATTTTTTGGGGTTAAAAATTGGATTTTTTGGGGTTAAAAATTGGATTTTTTTGGGTTAAAAATCGGATTTTTTTGGGTTAAAAATCGGAATTTTTTGGGGTTAAAAATCGGATTTTTTGGGGTTAAAAATGGGATTTTTTGGGGTTAAAGATCAGATTTTTTGGGGTTAAAAATGGGATTTTTTGGGGTTAAAAATCGGATTTTTTGGGGCTAAAAATCGGATTTTTTTGGGGCTTTAAAATTGGATTTTTTCACTACAAAAACCGCATTAAAATTTGGATTTTTTCCCTTTAAAATCCGCTTTTTTCACCGGATTTTCTTGCGGTAAAAAGCGCCTGAAAAATTGAATTTTTGGGGACTCAACCCGGCCCGGTGAAAATCGGATTTTTTTGGGTTAAAAATCGGATTTTTTTGGGTTAAAAATTGGATTTTTTGGGGTTAAAAATCGGATTTTTTTGGGTTAAAAATCGGATTTTTTTGGGGTTAAAAATCTGATTTTTTGGGGTTAAAAATTGGATTTTTTGGGGTGTAAAATCGGATTTTTTTTGGGCTTTAAAATCAGATTTTTCCGCGACAAAACCCGCATTAAAAATCGGATTTTTCTGCTTTAAAATCCGCTTTTTTCCCCATAAAAAACGCATTTTTCCTCGGATTTTCTCGCGGTAAAAAGCGCCTGAAAACTTGAAATTTTGGGGACTCAATCCGGCCTGGTGAAAATGGGATTTTTTGGGTTAAAAATTGGATTTTTTTGGGTTAAAAATTGGATTTTTTGGGGTTAAAAATCGGATTTTTTGGGGTTAAAAATCGGATTTTTTTGGGTTAAAAATCGGATTTTTTGGGGTTAAAAATTGGATTTTTTGGGGTTAAAAATCAGATTTTTTTGGGTTAAAAACCGGATTTTTTGGGGTTAAAAATCGGATTTTTTTTGGGCTTTCAAATCGGATTTTTTCACTACAAAAACTGCATTAAAAATCGGATTTTTTCCCTTTAAAATCCGCTCTTTTCGCCGTAAAAACCGCATTTTTCATCGGATTTTCTCGCGGTAAAAAGCGCCTGAAAAATTGAATTTTTGGGGACCCAATCCGGCCCGGTGAAAATGGGATTTTTTGGGTTAAAAATCGGATTTTTGGGGTTAAAAATCGGATTTTTTTGCTTTAAAATCCTCTCTTTTCGCCGTAAAAAACGCATTTTTCATCGGATTTTCTCGCGGTAAAAAGCGCCTGAAAAATTGAATTTTTGGGGACCCAATCCGGCCCGGTGAAAATGGCATTTTTTGGGGTTAAAAATCGGATTTTTTGGGGTTAAAAATCGGATTTTTCCGCTTTAAAATCCGCTTTTTCCCCCGTCGAAACCCCGTTTCTCGTCGGATTTTCTCGCGGTAAAAAGCGCCTGAAAACTGGAATTTTCGGCGACCCAAATTTGGGTTTTTTTCCCTCAGTCCAGGGGCTGGGGCTCGGCCATGGGCATGGTGTGCAGCACCTCGTCGAGCAGCTGCAGCGCGCGGTGCAGGTGGATCTCGATCCAACATGGCGTCTCCTTGATGCTCTGCCGCGGGTAGTCGGGCCCCCAGCCCTTGACGAAGCTCAGGCGCAGGATGCAGAGGCGCCGCAGGTCGTCCACGCCGATGCCCGCGGCGGCCGACAAGCCTGCGGGAACACGGCGAGGTCACGCGTGATCACGTATGTGCCATACGTTCATTTTTACATCAATTACATGTGTGGTATATCCCGTTGGTGGATGGGTGGGGTTACATTGGAGGCGTCAAGATGGCGGCCGCAAGATGGCGGCGGCGACCGACAAACCCGGGAGAACACGGGAAGGTCACGCGTGATCACGTATGTGCCATACGTTCATTTTTACATCAATTACATGTGTGGTTTATCACCGTTATTGCATGGGTGGAGTTACATTGGAGGTCTCAAGATGGCGGCCTCAAGATGGCGGCGACCACCGAGAGATCCAGAACACGGGAAGGTCATGCGTGATCACGTATGGGCCATACATGTATTTTTATATATATTAGATGTGTGGTATATCGCCGTTATTGGATGGGTGGGGTCAAGATGGCGGCCTCAAGATGGCGGCCTCAAAATGGCGGCGTCAAAATGGCGGCCCCAAGGTCCTGGCAGGTCAGTGGCAATAATCCCATGATGCCCCCCAGGTCCTGGCAGGTCAGAGATGAAGGTTCTGGAAGCTCAAGGTCCTGGCAGATCAAGGTCCTGGCAGGTCAAAGCTCAAGGTCCTGGCAGGTCAAGGTCCTGGCAGCTCAAGGTCCTGGCAGGTCAAGGTCCTGGCAGGTCAAAGCTCAAGGTCCTGGCAGCTCAAGGTCCTGGCAGCTCAAGGTCCTGGCAGCTCAGAGCTCAAGGTCTTGACACCCAAAGGTCCTGGCAGATCAAAGCTCAAGGTCCTGGCAGGTCAAGGTCCTGGCAGATCAAAGCTCAAGGTCCTGACACCCCAAGGTCCTGGCAGGTCAAAGCTCAAGGTCCTGGCAGGTCAAAGCTTAAGGTCCTGGCACCTCAAGGTCCTGGCAGGTCAAAGCTCAAGGTCCTGGCAGGTCAAAGCTCAAGGTCCTGGCAGGTCAAGGTCCTGGCAGGTCAAAGCTCAAGGTCCTGGAAGCTCAAGGTCCTGGCAGGTCAAAGCTCAAGGTCCTGGCAGATCAAAGCTCAAGGTCCTGGCACCTCAAGGTCCTGGCAGGTCAAAGCTCAAGGTCCTGGCACCTCAAGGTCCTGGCAGGTCAAAGCTTAAGGTCCTGGCACCTCAAGGTCCTGGCAGGTCAAGGTCCTGGCAGGTCAAAGCTCAAGGTCCTGGCAGG